CACAATTAGCCCGTAATCTAGAACAGATTATATTTCCCCTATAAATAGGAGTATTCTCCTTCATTGTAAAGACACCATTTGAATATCTCTAATACACCTCTATCACTAAGTGTTCATACTATATTTTCTCTCCCTGATCTTCTGTTTATTTGCTTCCATTTTATAAGAATATCATTATTATGCGCATTTGTTTGGCTTCAAGCGCGGTATTAAGACCATAAACATTTACCAAATTTTGAGTTTCAAATTTGACATAAACTGAAATTCAAGAATTTGGATTTCTATAATTTTAACACAAATATTATAAAAACAAGTAACGCAAATTCCATAAACCCCTCAAAATAATTTCACTACCATGGATAGGGCAGGGGAGGGCAGGGCAGGGATGGGACAGGGAAAGACAGGGGTAGGGCAGGGCAGGGCTGGGCTGTGCTGGGCTGGGCTGGGCTGACTCGCTGGCTGGCTCATCTGTCGTAAGTGGCGGACCAACTAAGGGTTCCAAGGGGTCCCGGGATCCCGTGCACCTCAGAAAAAAATCATATACATATTATATATATATTATTTAAAATTAATTATTCAATGTATATTTACAAACAAAACATCTTTGAAACAATAAGAATGGAGCAGCGGATCTGGAACACGCTCGGAAGAAAAGTATTTAAGTTACTTGAGGTACCAAGTTCAAATCACGTTGGATTTTTTTTGGCGCATTTTCTGTCTTTAAAGGGAAGGCACAGTCCAACTTAGGCCCAAAACAAAACAAAAGACCCAGCCCCCTTTTCCTTTCACGCTGCCATTCCCCGGTTCCCCCCACCCGCGAACTGCGAAGCCCCCTGCCCCCTTTTCCTTTCACGTTGATATTTCCTCCATCAGACCACCAGTCCACCTCTTACCACCGCGACTGCCGACCGGCCGAGTGCCTCAGTGCTGACGAGTGACGAGACGATGACAAGCGGGACTGCGCCACTGCGGGAAGCGGCCAAGCCCGCCATTTCGCCAAGCCAAAGAGTCACCAAGGTTAGATACTCTTCTTTTCTCCATTAATGGCGTTTCTCAAGCTTTTTGGTGCGATTTTCTTTATGCTAAAAAATTAAGTTTTTCAAATTTCAATATGTATGTTTAAATTAAATATACCAAAACTACGTCGTTCTTTTAATTGCTTTTCTTTGCATATCTTCTTTTAATGTTAGATTAAATTAATAAATTCGTGTATTTATAAATGTTATTTTAGGCCCAGGCCCGCGCACACGATGTGGTGTCAGGTATCATTCATGTTAATACCACTCCTGCTTATGTTCTATTTGATTCTGGTGCTTCTCACAGTTTTATCTCTTCTAAATTTGTTGAGAAGTTAAAGATAGAACGTGCAGCTAGCATAAAGTTGAATGTAAAAACAACAAATAATAGTGGTGTAGCCTGTAGAAATGTATACATCAATGTACCTATAGTTATAGCCGACGTTAGTCTACCGGGGGACTTGGTGCAATTTGATCTCGAAGACATTGATGTGGTGCTGGGCATGGATTGGCTCGGGAGCTACAAGGTGAAGATCTTATGCAATGAGCAGAAGGTGTCCATGAAGAGTCCGAGTGGGAAGCGGGTATCGTTTAAAGCAATGGTGAACAAACCTGGAGTCAAGTTGACGACAATGCGGCAGATGAGGAGGTACATCCGGAAGGGATGTGAGGCATACCTGTGCATGATAAAATAAACCCACATAGAAGAGCAGACGATTGACCATATTCTGGTGGTCAATGAATTTCCTGATGTGTGTCCGGAAGAGATTCCGGGAATGCCTCCAGAATGAGAGTTTGAATTCTCCATTGATTTAATGCCAGGGACTGCACCAATTTCCAAAGCTCCATACAGGATGGTTCCAAAAGAGATGCAGGAACTCAAAGAACAACTTGAAGAATTGCTTGAGAAAGGCTACATCAAGTCGAGCGTTTCACCTTGGGGCGCTCCAGTCTTGTTCGTGAAGAAGAAAGATGGAAGTCTAAGATTATGCATTGACTACGGAGAGCTGAATCGGGTAACAATCAAGAACAAGTACCCTCTACCTCGGATAGATGACTTGTTCGATCAATTGAGAGGAGCAAGCATATTCTCCAAGATCGACCTCCGATCCGGTTACCATCAGGTAAGGATAGCGGAGAAAGATATACCAAATACCGCATTTCGTACAAGGTATGGACACTACGAGTTCACTGTGATGTCGTTTGGGTTAACTAACGCACATGCGGTATTCATGGACTTAATGAACCGCGTATTTCGTCCCTACCTCGATACATTTGTGGTAGTATTCATAGATGATATCCTGGTGTATTCCAAGAATCCTGAAGAGCATGAAGAGCACCTGAGACGTGTCCTGCAGACGTTGAGGGAGAATCAGCTTTATGCTAAACTATCGAAGTGTGACTTTTGGAGGGACCGAGTCGCTTTCTTGGGCCACATAATCACCCGAGAAGGAGTATCGGTTGACCCATCCAAAATTGAAGCAGTGATCGAGTGGCGAGCGCCTACCACAGTGACGAAGGTGAGAAGCTTCCTTGGGCTAGCGGGTTACTATCGGAGATTTGTTAAAGATTTCTCCAAGATAGCTAAACCATTGACGAACCTAATGAAGAAGACCACGAAGTTTCATTGGAGTGAAGAATGTGAAGTAGCTTTTCAGAAGCTGAAAAAGAGATTGACGACCGCACCAGTGCTGACACTTCCATCTGGAATCGAAGGGTTCGAAATCTACAATGATGCGTCGAAGAAGAGACTCGGTGTATTCTAATGCAGAATGGGAAGGTAATGGCTTATGCATCCCGACAATTGAAGGTGCATGAAGATAACTATCCTACCCACGACCTAGAGTTGGCTGCTGTCGTGTTCGCCTTGAAAATATGGAGGCACTATCTTTATGGGGCGCAGTGTAAAATCTATACTGATCATAAGAGCCTCAAGTACATTTTCACCCAACGGGAGATTAACATGAGACAAAGGAGGTGGTTAGAGCTAATTAAAGACTATGATTTGGAGATCAATTACCACGAAGGGAAGGCCAACGTCGTAGCAGACGCGTTAAGCCGGAAATCTGAGCACACGAGCCGAGCAATGTGGATACTACTAGATGAGCTGTGCCGAGAACTCCAAAAGCTAAACATCGAAGTTAGAGAATACGAGGAAGTAGAGAACGAGATACAATTGTATACTATGACCATTTTGCCATCTATCTTCGAGGAAATCAAGGCTAGTCAACCGGGAGATGTGAAGCTTGAACGTGTCAAGGCCGGGATGAAAGATGGAGTAAATGGCCCATTTCGGTTGCATGAAGATGGGAGTATTCGACACAAAGGGAGGTGGTGTGTTCCGATGAAGTGTGAGACCATCAAAAATCAAATCATGGAGGAAGGACACAACACACCCTACTCGGTACACCCGGGAGAAGATAAACTATACAAAGACTTGAAGAAGAATTTCTGGTGGCCGAAGATGAAGAAAGAAGTGGCCGAGTTCGTAGCACGATGTCTAAACTGCCAAAAGGTCAAAGCGGAGAGATGCAAGCCCAAAGGACTCGTGCAACCTTTGGAGATACCGGCGTGGAAATGGGACTCGATCTCGATGGACTTCGTTGGGGGTTTGCCTTTAACAAAGTCCGAAAATGACAAGATATGGGTGGTAGTGGATCGGTTAACCAAAACCGCACGATTCATACCGATGAACGAAACCTGGAGTATGGAGAAGTTAGCGAGAGCTTATATCAAGCACGTGGCCAAATACCAAGGGGTTCCCAAAGACATCGTATCCGACCGAGACTCGATTCCTATCTCAATTCTGGAAGGAATTGCAGTCCGCCATGGGGACAAAGCTGAAGTTAAGTACTGCGTTTCATCACACAACTGACGATCAGACGTTTTAGTGATAAAAATGAACTGAGTTAGGCCGATTGTTTTATCTGTTAAAACTTAAGTTAATGATGGTGCATTTACTAATATTCTAATGAATCGATTATAAATGAAAATGGATCATAATATAAGTATAATAATATTGGACTGATTGAATTATATATTATAGTAATAGATCAACTAATACAAATATAAAATGGATCGTCGTGATAAAATAAAACAAGTAGACTATATGACTGATCATTTATAAAAAGTAGGCCAACTAATAAGATAAAATACTGGTATCGGATTAAATAAACGAAAGAACAGAAATCACTTGACTCGTTATCTATGCACATAACCGACGGTATATATTAAATTAATGATTCGATAACGGATTAAATAAGTTATAATGAATAGACTACACCGCTTAATCTCAAATTGATAAGTAATCAGGAATCGGGTAAAGTAGTAAAACAGAATAGCCTGGACTTAATTATACTAATGATCCAATCAAACAAATAAAACTATGTAAAATAGAATAATTTACTTATTGTGAAATTTTAAATAATAGAAGGACAGTTTGGAGAAGAAGCTGATAGGGAGTTCGAGGTAAGTCACATTGCAACCAAAATTATATTTTACCTCGTAAATAATTATTTATTTGATATGTACGTGTGATGGTATGAATATTTTGAATGAGGGATTATTTGTGAGCAAGTTGTATTTGTGATTTTGAGATATATTGGATTATATGTATGTGTGGGATATTTTGAGAAAATATAAAGTCAACAATTTAAGGATAAATGATCCTTGTGGTGAAACTTTGTCCAAGAGACATAAATATGGGATTTTGAAACAAGATAAAAGATTGTTTTCTGAATGTGGGGCATCGCGGGAGAAATCCGTAGGTGTCGGGCCACCTTCACGTCCGTTAATGATGAGGGAGGGTTAGGACTACTACTACTTGAATTGAGAGGCTTGAGACAAATTAAAGGAATTTTGGAGGGTTCGGTAATCACCCCGAACAATTGGGCATCAGATCCCTTTTATTAGAGCAGTAGTAGTACATATTCTCTTAAGGGTCTTTGAACCTAGAACCTAGGGAGTATATCTCATTTGGAGTAGGGGGCGTTGACGTCAGAACTACTTAGACTTCATACTACTCGGAGGACTTAGAATCCCTTTAGGGGGTGTGCACACTTAAGGTAGAAGTCTAGATTCTAATAGAGGAGATGAGGTACCGAGAGAAGATCGGAGTGACCGTACAAAACAACGGATCACTGTGCTCAAGAATCGAGGTAACGCTTGTGTAACACCCTACCCGAACCAGCCCCGCCGATCCGAGCAATGTGTCACGTGGTAGAAATCAAAACAGATTTGACCGAAAGACTTTTAATTATTTAGATAAAATTAAGTATTAAATAAAACATATTTATTAAAACGTCAATTTATTATTCAATACTAAAAAATATATCAAGTCGTCATAAATCACTTAATATTATACATCACAAAATATTTTATGATATGCGGAAGCGTTTACAAAACGAAAATGATCAATTATGATTAAAGTCAAATTTGCTTTATTTTTATTTATTTTCAACAATACACACATGGTATGCACATGAATCCTACGCCACCGTCCATCCCAGTATCCTTATCTTAGCTGAGTCCACGTCAACCTACGGGTAGGAAAAAAAACAAACAACTACCCGCTCAGCAATGTGCTGAGTGGTACGGTACAAATAATAATACCAAAAATATATATATAACAATAACAATGATAATAATTACTTATCAAATCACATAGCAACATACCATAATTAACATGTAGTCAACAAACATATAACATACCTGAGTAAACTGGATAACTGTTATAAAAATCAAGACACTTACATACAGACCAGAAGCATATTCAGATATCATAATTATCAAATAATTTTTATTCAGAGTTATATCATTAATAAAATAAATTCATTTTATCCTGTACTCAAGAAACTGGACCTAGACAGAGGAATACTAACGGTAAGGAATACTGTCACAAAGTCCATACCCACATTACCCAAAAAGGATATGGAAACGTAATCGCCGGAGCTACACGTACCAATCCCTAACAGGAGCTAGCTAAACAGAAAGGACGAGATCACCGAAGAGACTCGAACCTTAATAGAAGAGTAATAGTGTCCTAAAAAGATTTCAGGAGTGTACATGGTACACTAAACACGAGAACACTAATTCCTCTAAACAGAATTTCAGGAGTGTACATAGTACACTAAATAGACAGATCAGGAGTATTCGTGTCAGAGTGCCGGATTAAGAGCAAGACATTTGAGAAACATTTTTCTTTAGTTTGTTTACAATAAAAATATTGAGTTTAATATATCTTAAGTTTTAGGGTACTTTCCGGATGTCAGTATTTATAAATAAAACGTCACCCGAAGTTTTCTCATTAAACTTATAATCCACCTATCCTATTTTTTTTATTTATTTCTAAAAATTTAAGAGTTATTTTATACTCCGTATGTCCAATCATTTCCCTAGTTGATAAATAAAATATCTTAATGAGTTACCTTGACATTACGTGTGAATAGTAGTGCTCAAGACAATAATTATAAAGGCACACATTTATATGTATAGTGCTTAATTAATGCATGTAAATATAAGCCTTACACGTATTATAATTTTACACACGTATGCATACATATATTTACTTAAGTCAACTACTCTTATCTATAGGAGTATATATTAATCATTTTCATGAACCCACAAGCTTTTGTAAATAATTTAATAGTATTTTTTTTTAAAGACAAAACCTTGAATTTAGTCATACGTGCACTTATACATACATATTAATATATTCATATAATCGTAACTTATTGCATGTGAAAAACTAAATTACATAAATAAATAATTTTAAAGTATTTAGTCCTAGTGTTTACGTAGATAGAATAGCACATAATTAATTATTTATATATGTTTATCCTTATATATACCTTATATATGAAGTATGAAAAAAAATGTTAAGCTTCTACAAATAATACGAATTACCCTACTTTCATCAATTATGAAGTGACTTATAGCTATATTTAGCTGTATATGAGCATAAACCCTAGCAGGATTAATATAAAATTTTACAGGTTTATATATCATATAATGGAAATATGGAGACCATGAACTACATCATTTTTAATTAACTTAGTCGGTGGTTCATTTTATAATTTCCAATATATACATGCAGCTAAACTTTAGTTTCGTCAATTGAACTTTTTCATTTTATTTTCATTTACATATGAAGTATAATGTAATTTTCAATATTAGTTCTACTAGTATAAATTATGAACACATAGTTAGTTAAGCATACAAACATTTCTAAGGCTAAATAATACTCATCATCCCCGTAACATATGAAACAGGGACGGAAATTATATTTACATAATAATATTAAAATATACATCAAATAAAATTAAACTGGGTTAGAAGTACTGACCTAGAACCTTAATGATTTTTGGATCAGAAGCTATATTCCTTCGGCTCGTTCCTACCTCTTCTACTTGTTCAACTCTTTCTTACTTAATATATATAGGAGTATATTTTTAATAGTGGTTGGCCGCATGTGTATGAAGTTTTGAGATAACTAAGAGTGCCTATATATATATAGCCTTGATAAACCGTATAGTAGACAAAACAAAACTTGGCCAACATAATTATTGGAGAAACTATTCATTCAAGATTGATGAGACTAGTTGGCTTATTATTGTAGGTGTAAAATTTATTATGGAGTACATGAATTGACCTTAGGTGGCTGCCCATTCCTCATCAATTGAAGATATTTGACTATTATAATTTATTTTAGAATTGTCCAAATTGCTATTTAGATTAGCACGTAACTTCATGTAAGATTTGGGACACGTATTATTATTTTGTTCAAATTTGGTTTAAATGCCTTAGCCGATTACATGAATAAAATGTTAGATGTGAAATTTCTACAGTTTAGTTTACATCAATTATTTTACTACTAAATTTATCATCAATGTTTTCTTTTTATTTATAAATCTATACTTTATAAATTTATGAAAATGTTTGATTTGATACAAAAATAATATCAAAAAGTTTATTCATATGTACCTTAACTACTAGACCAGATTTTGGGGCATTACATTTCTTCCCCTCTTAAAACAATTTCGTCCTCGAAATTACCTGAGTTGACATTGTTGAACAAATCTGGATATTGGGTCATCATAGCTTTTTCCGTTTCCCAAGTTGCTTCTTCCGTGGTGTGGTTCCTCCAAAGAACTTTGACTAAGGGAACTGTTTTATTCCTTAACACCTTCACATCTCGAGCAAGTATTTGTACCGGTTCTTCTTCATAGGTTAAATCTTTATCAAGCTCCACGATTTCCGGTGTTAGTACATGTGATGGATCAGATCTATATCTTCTTAGCATTGACACATGAAAAACATCATGTATTTGGATCAACTCTGGTGGTAATGCGAGTCGGTAGGCTACATGACCAATACGTTCAGTGATTTCATAAGGTCCAATAAACCTCGGACTCAGCTTACCCTTTTTGCCGAAACGGAGTACCTTTTTCCAAGGAGACACTTTCAGAAAAACTTTTTCTCCTGTAGCATACTCAATATCACGACGCTTCAGATCAGCATATGATTTTTGTCTATCTGATGCCATCTTGAGTCATTCTTGAATCAATTGAACCTTCTCCTCTGTTTCCTGAATCAGATCAGGTCCAATGGTCTTTCTTTCACTTAGCTCTGTCCAACATACCGGAGTTCTACATTTTCGACCATACAGAGCCTCGTACGGTGCCATCTGAATGGTAGCTTGATAGCTATTGTTATATGCAAACTCCATAAGCGGCAAGTATTTCTCCCAACTTCCTTTGAACTCTATAGCACATCCCCGCATCATATCCTCAAGAATTTGAATAACTCTTTCAGATTGACCATCTGTCTGAGGATGAAAGGCTGTGCTAAAGTTCAATTTCGTACCAAGTGCCTCTTGTAAGCTTCTCCAGAATTGAGAAGTAAATCTTGGATCTCTATCGGATATGATGGGTAGTGGTATCCCATGTAATCGGACTATCTCTTGGAGATACAGTTCAGCTAATTTGTTTAAGGAGAAATCCCTTCGAATGGGTATGAAATGAGCAGATTTGGTAAGTCGATCCACAATTACCCAAACTGAGTCATTCTTCTTTGGTGTCAAGGGTAAACCCACAACAAAATCCATGGTTACCCGATCCCATTTCCATTCCGGTATTGTAATGGATTGTAACAATCCAGATGGAACTTGGTGTTCTGCTTTAACTTGTTGGCAAGTGAGACACTTCGAAGTATACTCGGTGATATCACGTTTCATACCGGACCACCAGTATAGATTCTTCAAATCTCGATACATTTTGTTGCTTCCCGGATGCATTGAGTACTTTGTTTCATGTGACTCCTGAAGAATCCTTTGTTTAACCTCTCCATTAGGAACAACCAAACGCCCTTTGAAGCACAATCCACCATTACTTTGTTTAGTGAAATCTGGTTTCTCCCCTTTAGAAATCGACTCCACTATTTGAAGGCACTGATCATCAGCTTTTTGAGCTGTTATGATATCTTCTTGAAGTGAAGGCCTAAGATGTAATTCAGCAAGAGTTTTCCGACTCAAAGCATCTGCCACAACGTTAGCTTTTCCGGGGTGATAATCGATTACACAGTCGTAATCCTTGATTAACTCTAGCCATTGCCTTTGTCTCATATTTAACTCCTTCTGACTAGGAAGATATTTAAGACTTTTGTGGTCAGTAAAGATATAACATTTTTCCCCATATAGATAATGTCGCCACATCTTTAAAGAGAAAACAATGGCTGCTAGCTCAAGATCGTGTGTGGGGTAATTTTTCTCGTGCTCCTTTAGTTGTCTCGAGGCATATGCGATCACTTTTCCTTCTTGCATTAATACACATCCCAAGCCATTATGAGAAGCATCACTATACACAGTGAAATCCTTTCCAGATACCGGTTGAACAAGTACCGGAGCTTCTGTGAGAATCTTCTTTAGTTTATCAAAACTCTCTTGACACGATGGTGTCCATTCAAAACGTGAATTTTTCTTCAAGAGTTTATGAAGAGGTGAAGCTATCATAGAAAAGCCTTTAACGAAACGACGATAGTAACCAGCTAGTCCCAGAAAACTTCTGACCTCTGTTACATTTCGAGGTGGTTTCCAATTTGTAATGGCTTGTACTTTTGTAGGGTCAACACGTATGCCATCTGCTGAAATGACATGACCCAAGAAGGTTACTTTCTTGAGCCAGAACTCACACTTTGAAAACTTGGCATAGAGTTTGTGTTCTCTTAATGTCTCTAGCACGAATTTGAGATGTTCTTTGTGTTCCTCCTCAGACTTTGAATAGATCAAGACATCATCAATAAAGACAACCACAAATTGGTCAAGAAAAGGTTTGAACACCCTATTCATTAGGTCCATAAAAGCGGCTGGAGCATTGGTTAGTCCGAAAGGCATGACCAAAAACTCATAGTGTCCGTATCTTGTTCGAAATGCAGTCTTCGGTACATCCTCCTTTTTGACAGGTAATTGATGATATCCTGATCGAAGATCAATCTTTGAGAATACTTTGGCTCCTTTGAGTTGGTCAAAAAGATCATCAATCCTCGGCAACGGGTAACGATTTTTCACCGTCACTTTGTTCAATTGCCGATAATCAATACAGAGTCGCATAGAACCATCCTTTTTCTTCACAAATAGAACGGGTGCGCCCCATGGAGACACACTTGGTTGAATAAATCCCTTATCTAAGAGATCTTGAAGTTGTGCCTTTAGTTCTTTCATTTCAGCAGGAGCCATTCGATAAGGAGTTGCTGAAATGGGCGTTGTCCCATGTACTAATTCAATAGTAAATTCCACTTCACGAGATGGTGGTAAACCTGGTAATTCTTCAGGAAAAAGATCCGAAAAATCTTGTACAATAGGGATGTCATTTAAGGTTGGAGCTTCTTTCTGTGTGTCTCGAACATATGCTAGATATGCTTGGCATTTCTTACGCATAAGCCGTTTGGCATGCATCATAGAAATGAGTTGAGGTGACTTTGGAAACAATTCTCCAGGGACAAGGATAGTTTCACCTTTCTCGGTTTGAAGTAACATTGTTTTATCTTGGCAATTTACTACAGCTTTATGCTTAGAAAACCAATCCATACCAAGAATTATATCAAATTCTCGATAAGGTAATTCAATGAGATCCGCATGGAATTGTTTTCCTTGAACCTCTAAAGGACAATGTCGGAATATTTTATTAACAATGATACTTTTTCCTAGAGGTGTGGATACCTCCATTTGGAAGTCTAAGTCCTCTCTTGGATATTCAACTAAGCATGAAGGACGAACACATATATAGGAATGCGTAGAACCAGGATCAATTAAGGCAGATATGTCAGTGTTGAAAATAGTGAACATACCGATGATGACGTCATTCTCAGGTTGCTCCTCTCTAGCTTGCATCGCATAAGTCCTAGCTTGAGGACGACCTTGTGTTGGCCTATTCACCGTTTCAGAGTTGGTTCTAGCATTGCCTTGGTTGCCAGTTTGTTGACTCCTTTGCGGGGGCTGCGTTGGGCGGTTTGGAGCCGATGAAGCAGCACCATTGACAAGTGTGGGACAATCTCTGAGCATGTGACCCATCTGGCCACAACGGAAACAAGCTCCAGAGGCTCTTCTACATTCGCCAATATGATGCTTGTTACAGAAAGAGCATAATGGGACATTTTTAGCCTGCGGAACTGACGATTGAAATTTATTACTGCCAGTTGTTGATGGGGAACGAGATGATTGGCTGAATCTGGACCAATGGCCCTGAGATTTACTCTTGTCACTTTGTTGCTTCTTTCCTATTGAGTTCCTTATGGGAGCCGAGTGTGAAAAGGTTCCACTGCCTGTCTTCCTTCTACGCCACCCTTCAAAGCTTTGAGCAGCACCGACTAGCTCTGTGAGACTAGTGTGGCGTAAAGCAACCACTAGACCAGCAATTTCTTCATTAAGCCCGTACTCAAATTTGCGGCATTTATCTGGTTCCGCTCTCACCATATCCTGGGCATATTTACTCAAGCGAAGAAATTCATATGCATATTCAGCAACTGTCATGGACCCTTGAGTCAGATCCATAAACTGTCACTTCCTCTCTTCTTGATACCACGCAGGGACAAATTGATCTATAAATCGCGCTTGAAAATAATTCCATGTTATTGGTCTAGGTAAATCAGGTCTAAGTAGCACTGATTTCCACCAATCGTATGCTCCGTGTTGTAGCAAACTAATGGCGTGTCGTGGATGTTCGACTAATGGAACTTGTAAGTCCTCCAACACACGAGCAGTTTGCTCGAGCCAAAATTCAGCAATTTCAGGGGTATCCCCTCTTTTACCGAAAAAGATGGAAGCACCATTCTTTTTAAGTTTGTCTATAGTGATAGATCCTCTTACAACTTGGTTATTAATTGGGACCACATTCTGCACCAACTGTTGAAAAAATCCAGCCATTTGCTGCATGAATGGATCCGGCTGATGAGGCTCTTCTTGATGAATGCTTGCGTTCGCCGATCCATGAACAGAGTGCTCACTTGGGTCTTCCGATGACATTGTAATGCCTAAATTTTTGGAGATATATAACAACTTAATAATCCATACTCCTATTACTTATAGTAATACTACTACTTGATAAGAGGATGGGAGGCGGCCTTCTAATATGCAATGCAACACACAATCATAAATAAGTTTAAACCCATTTACAATTTTTTTTTATAACAGAATCGTGTTATAACCAATTGCTCTGATACCAAAATGTAACACCCTACCCGAACCAGCCCCGCCGATCCGAGCAATGTGTCACGTGGTAGAAATCAAAACAGATTTGACCGAAAGACTTTTAATTATTTAGATAAAATTAAGTATTAAATAAAACATATTTATTAAAACGTCAATTTATTATTCAATACTAAAAAATATATCAAGTCGTCATAAATCACTTAATATTATACATCACAAAATATTTTATGATATGCGGAAGCGTTTACAAAACGAAAATGATCAATTAAGATTAAAGTCAAATTTGCTTTATTTTTATTTATTTTCAACAATACACACATGGTATGCACATGAATCCTACGCCACCGTCCATCCCAGTATCCTTATCTTAGTTGAGTCCACGTCAACCTACGGGTAGGAAAAAAAAACAAACAACTACCCGCTCAGCAATGTGCTGAGTGATACGGTACAAATAATAATACCAAAAATATATATAACAATAACAATGATAATAATTACTTATCAAATCACATAGCAACATACCATAATTAACATGTAGTCAACAAACATATAACATACCTGAGTGAACTGGATAACTGTTATAAAAATCAAGACACTTACATACAGACCAGAAGCATATTCAGATATCATAATTATCAAATAATTTTTATTCAGAGTTATATCATTAATAAAATAAATTCATTTTATCCTGTACTCAAGAAACTGGACCTAGACAGAGGAATACTAACGGTAAGGAATACGGTCACAAAGTCCATACCCACATTACCCAAAAAGGATATGGAAACGTAATCGCCGGAGCTACACGTACCAATCCCTAACAGGAGCTAGCTAAACAGAAAGGACGAGATCACCGAAGAGACTCGAACCTTAACAGAAGAGTAATAGTGTCCTAAAAAGAATTCAGGAGTGTACATGGTACACTAAACACGAGAACACTAATTCCTCTAAACAGAATTTCAGGAGTGTACATAGTACACTAAATAGACAGATCAGGAGTATTCGTGTCAGAGTGCCGGATTAAGAGCAGGACATTTGAGAAACATTTTTCTTTAGTTTGTTTACAATAAAAATATTGAGTTTAATATATCTTAAGTTTTAGGGTACTTTCCGGATGTCAGTATTTATAAATAAAACGTCACCCGAAGTTTTCTCATTAAACTTATAATCCACCTATCCTATTTTTTTTATTTATTTCTAAAAATTTAAGAGTTATTTTATACTCCGTATGTCCAATCATTTCCCTAGTTGATAAATAAAATATCTTAATGAGTTACCTTGACATTACGTGTGAATAGTAGTGCTCAAGACAATAATTATAAAGGCACACATTTATATGTATAGTGCTTAATTAATGCATGTAAATATAAGCCTTACACGTATTATAATTTTACACACGTATGCATACATATATTTACTTAAGTCAACTACTCTTATCTATAGGAGTATATATTAATCATTTTCATGAACCCACAAGCTTTTGTAAATAATTTAATAGTATTTTTTTTTAAAGACAAAACCTTGAATTTAGTCATACGTGCACTTATACATACATATTAATATATTCATATAATCGTAACTTATTGCATGTGAAAAACTAAATTACATAAATAAATAATTTTAAAGTATTTAGTCCTAGTGTTTACGTAGATAGAATAGCACATAATTAATTATTTATATATGTTTATCCTTATATATACCTTATATATGAAGTATGAAAAAAAATGTTAAGCTTCTACAAATAATACGAATTACCCTACTTTCATCAATTATGAAGTGACTTATAGCTATATTTAGCTGTATATGAGCATAAACCCTAGCAGGATTAATATAAAATTTTACAGGTTTATATATCATATAATGGAAATATGGAGACCATGAACTACATCATTTTTAATTAACTTAGTCGGTGGTTCATTTTATAATTTCCAATATATACATGCAGCTAAACTTTAGTTTCGTCAATTGAACTTTTTCATTTTATTTTCATTTACATATGAAGTATAATGTAATTTTCAATATTAGTTCTACTAGTATAAATTATGAACACATAGTTAGTTAAGCATACAAACATTTCTAAGGCTAAATAATACTCATCATCCCCGTAACATATGAAACAGGGACGGAAATTATATTTACATAATAATATTAAAATATACATCAAATAAAATTAAACTGGGTTAGAAGTACTGACCTAGAACCTTAATGATTTTTGGATCAGAAGCTATATTCCTTCGGCTCGTTCCTACCTCTTCTACTTGTTCAACTCTTTCTTACTTAATATATATAGGAGTATATTTTTAATAGTGGTTGGCCGCATGTGTATGAAGTTTTGAGATAACTAAGAGTGCCTATATATATATAGCCTTGATAAACCGTATAGTAGACAAAACAAAACTTGGCCAACATAATTATTGGAGAAACTATTCATTCAAGATTGATGAGACTAGTTGGCTTATTATTGTAGGTGTAAAATTTATTATGGAGTACATGAATTGACCTTAGGTGGCTGCCCATTCCTCATCAATTGAAGATATTTGACTATTATAATTTATTTTAGAATTGTCCAAATTGCTATTTAGATTAGCACGTAACTTCATGTAAGATTTGGGACACGTATTATTATTTTGTTCAAATTTGGTTTAAATGCCTTAGCCGATTACATGAATAAAATGTTAGATGTGAAATTTCTACAGTTTAGTTTACATCAATTATTTTACTACTAAATTTATCATCAATGTTTTCTTTTTATTTATAAATCTATACTTTATAAATTTATGAAAATGTTTGATTTGATACAAAAATAATATAAAAAAGTTTATTCATATGTACCTTAACTACTAGACCAGATTTTGGGGCATTACATTTCTTCCCCTCTTAAAACAATTTCGTCTTCGAAATTACCTGAGTTGACATTGTTGAACAAATCTGGATACTGGGTCATCATAGCTTTTTCCGTTTCCCAGGTTGCTTCTTCCGTGGTGTGGTTCCTCCAAAGAACTTTGACTAAGGGAACTGTTTTATTCCTTAACACCTTCACATCTCGAGCAAGTATTTGTACCGGTTCTTCTTCATAGGTTAAATCTTTATCAAGCTCCACGATTTCCGGTGTTAGTACATGTGATGGATCAGATCTATATCTTCTTAGCATTGACACATGAAAAACATCATGTATTTGGATCAACTCTGGTGGTAATGCGAGTCGGTAGGCTACATGACCAATACGTTCAGTGATTTCATAAGGTCCAATAAACCTCGGACTCAGCTTACCCTTTTTGCCGAAACGGAGTACCTTTTTCCAAGGAGACACTTTCAGAAAAACTTTTTCTCCTGTAGCATACTCAATATCACGACGCTTCAGATCAGCATATGATTTTTGTCTATCTGATGCCATCTTGAGTCGTTCTTGAATCAATTGAACCTTCTCCTCTGTTTCCTGAATCAGATCAGGTCCAATGGTCTTTCTTTCACTTAGCTCTTTCCAACATACCGGAGTTCTACATTTTCGACCATACAGAGCCTCGTACGGTGCCATCTGAATGGTAGCTTGATAGCTATTGTTATATGCAAACTCCATAAGCGGCAAGTATTTCTCCCAACTTCCTTTGAACTCTATAGCACATCCCCGCATCATATCCTCAAGAATTTGAATAACTCTTTCAGATTGACCATCTGTCTGAGGATGAAAGGCTGTGCTAAAGTTCAATTTCGTACCAAGTGCCTCTTGTAAGCTTCTCCAGAATTGAGAAGTAAATCTTGGATCTCTATCGGATATGATGGGTAGTGGTATCCCATGTAATCGGACTATCTCTTGGAGATACAGTTCAGCTAATTTGTTTAAGGAGAAATCCCTTCGAATGGGTATGAAATGAGCAGATTTGGTAAGTCGATCCACAATTACTCAAACTGAGTCATTCTTCTTTGGTGTCAAGGGTAAACCCACAACAAAATCCATGGTTACCCGATCCCATTTCCATTCCGGTATTGTAATGGATTGTAACAATCCAGATGGAACTTGGTGTTCTGCTTTAACTTGTTGGCAAGTGAGACACTTCGAAGTATACTCGGTGATATCACGTTTCATACCGGACCACCAGTATAGATTCTTCAAATCTCGATACATTTTGTTGCTTCCCGGATGCATTGAGTACTTTGTTTCATGTGACTCCTGAAGAATCCTTTGTTTAACCTCTCCATTAGGAACAACCAAACGCCCTTTGAAGCACAATCCACCATTACTTTGTTTAGTGAAATCTGGTTTCTCCCCTTTAGAAATCGACTCCACTATTTGAAGGCACTGATCATCAGCTTTTTGAGCTGTTATGATATCTTCTTGAAGTGAAGGCCTAAGATGTAATTCAGCAAGAGTTTTCCGACTCAAAGCATCTGCCACAACGTTAGCTTTTCCGGGGTGATAATCGATTACACAGTCGTAATCCTTGATTAACTCTAGCCATTGCCTTTGTCTCATATTTAACTCCTTCTGAGTAGGAAGATATTTAAGACTTTTGTGGTCAGTAAAGATATAACATTTTTCCCCATATAGATAATGTCGCCACATCTTTAAAGAGAAAACAATGGCTGCTAGCTCAAGATCGTGTGTGGGGTAATTTTTCTCGTGCTCCTTTAGTTGTCTCGAGGCATATGCGATCACTTTTCCTTCTTGCATTAATACACATCCCAAGCCATTATGAGAAGCATCACTATACACAGTGAAATCCTTTCCAGATACCGGTTGAACAAGTACCGGAGCTTCTGTGAGAATCTTCTTTAGTTTATCAAAACTCTCTTGACACGATGGTGTCCATTCAAAACGTGAATTTTTCTT